AAGCACCTATACTGTGGTAATGAATAGGATAAAAAGAAATCCTTTGGGGGAGGAAGCATGATTTTTGTGTTTTCAGTTTTGTTACAGTCTTCCTGTGTGTCTTAGGCAGGACACTTAGCCTTTTGGTGTCAATGTGTTTTAGTCTATGAAATGGGAACAAGTATTATTTCATAGATTTAGAACTTAATTCCTTATTGCTTCTGTCTAAGAGTCATCTGCTTTATCAAGGCTTTGGCTGCATGTGGGGCACACTTGGCCTATAGCTCTGATTTAGCAAGCTGCACTGAAATCAAATCTTAGCTGGTTTCTCTGTGTAATACCATTTACCCACAGAGAAGTTCTTAGCATGCGTATCGGAGAGCATGTAGACCTTTCCAACCTGTGTAACCTCCTTTAATAAAGATACAGTTACTGCAGTTGACCTCTTGTGAAAAGTGGATCTGTCTGTGTTTTTATTCTGTGGCCTGAATAGAAGATATAACAAAATGGGCACTGTTCACTGGACGTGGGAATTCTCCCTTGCTCTGACTCATGTAGAGCAGCAGGGAGGGGGAGGAAAATGGGCTCCACAAACCCAGTATCCAGTTTTGTCATTTTAAAAAACCTTTTTGATCTGAACTTTGTACATTTAATATTCCAGAGGGTATTTAGAAGTTTGATAACAGTCCATAGTAGTGCTAGAGAAAGATAAGGCTCACTATTGTAATAAAACAATGTTGTGGTGCCAAGACTGTATATTTATGCTTTTTTGTTGCAAGGCTAACAGTGTCCATCAAACTTTGTATAATTTGATATTATACTAAGTAAAGGAAAAAAACCCCAATCATTCTCTAGGTTGCCATAAGAAAAAAAAAATGCTTTAAGCTTGATATGCAACTACATTGCAAACCAGTCCATTAGCATGATGTATCGCCTCACAGCAGCTGGGAGTAATCCAGTGTTGTGAAGCTGCTGGTGTGATGGAGGCCAAGATTGTTTTATGTAGAACAGAGAAGATACTAATGTTTTTTTTCCATTATAATCAACCATTATTTTGCCAATATGTTTTCTAATGTGTCTTGCAGAGTTTCATGATAGTTTTTCAAAGCTGGATCAAAATTTCTGTCCACCATTGTGGTCAGTCAATTTTTAGCATGAGTAGAAGAAGCATCGTTGCCAAGTTTTCCTTCAAGCCTGTGAAGTCAGAGTCACAAGGAGTAGGACAAAGCCTCAGCAAGCTTTGGGAGAATAATGGGGAATTGCAAACTCTGTGTTTATTGCACCTGATGCTTTCTCAAAATGTGCTTCATAGGGGCCAAACCACTCATTTCCTCAAGCAGATAAGAAGGATGCTTTCTCTACCTCAGTCAAAGCTCTGTGACTTTGTAAATAAGGCAGTATAAATGTATCTTTTAAAAGTTGTAGTTCCTAGAGGAATTCCAGCTAGCATGTTGCGAATTTTTACCGCAGAAGACGTGAACTTCAGGACTAGTTAAACTGGTTAAGTTAAAAAGAAGTATCGACTTTAAAACCACCTGCTGTTACAACAGCTAAGCCATGAATTACACCGGGATTGTCTGAAATGGGATTTTTAAGCACACTAAACAGGTATTAAATTGAAAGTAAATAGTTTTTTTTCGCCCTTTCCAAGAGCATTGTAGTGGTTTTGAGACCTGTGGCACAAACTCTGTGTAACCCACCTCTGTCGGAGCTTGTGAGAGGGGAAATATAAGGAAATGTGCCCACCCCAGTTGCTTCAAGGCAGGGAGTCAGGACCCTTTTACGCAAGTTTCTCAATATGTAATTTTTTTATTTCTACTGCTGATGTGATCATTTCATGGATCTTGTTTGATATACATAGTCACAAGTGTTGGTCTGTCAGAAAAGGCCCAGGAGCTAACCAGAGCTTCATTTTCTTATCCATCATTTTCTATTTCTTCATTCTTAGGAAATAACCCAGGCAATGTAAATGTGGAAATAATTCTGAATAATTTTTTGCTTTAAGACAGTCTTTCCCAGATTTGTACAATGCAGAGAAACGGTTAATCTTCCATCAAGCATATGTAAGCAGTGCTCTAGAGTAGAATCCATTGATTGACTGCTGAAATTTAGACTTTATTTTTCAGGAAATTCCAGTATTTTGAATTCATGTTTCCACCATGCATTGACCATGCATTGAAATAAGATTTTTTAATACAGTCAGGCTGTGCAATTGTTTTCATATTTATTGTATTTTTAATACAAAAGTCAAAACACTTTAGACTGTAACTAAAACCAAAGTCATTAAGTTGAAACAAAGGGTTCTTACTTTACCAAAACAAAATATGTGGATTTAATGAAAATTAAATGTTTTAGCTGTATTCCTTTTAACAACAAAAAACAAAACCAACCAACCCCCCCCCCAAACCAAAAAACAAAACCACACAACAAAAAAAACCCAAACAACAAACAAAAGCAAACAGACAAATAAACCCAAAACCGTGTTAAGAAATGCTGGTTCCACAAAAACATTGTAATTCTAATTATTGTTTCTCTGTTGTCTGGGAAAACTTTTACTTTCTTGGCAATTTTGAATTTAGCTTTCTCTGTGTGACATCACTCTAAATACAGGAATACCATAATATTGATTTTAATAGGAGTGACTCAGATGACTTTTAAGACAAAACATAACTGGCCTGAAATTTCTTGATGGGAAACCTAACAAAAAACTTCCCAGTGAATGCAATGGGACTATGGAACAGACTTCAAAGTCTCATATGAGAGGTATGCTAGAAGCAAAGCATCTTAAAAATATACTGTAGGGTAAAAAAAATGGAATCTTCATGTGGAAGTGGACAAGTTTAATAAGCCCTTTCATCTTTTATGTCTGTGATTGAGTTTTGTTTTATTTCAGCCTGAAATTAAAGCTTTATTCTTCAAGGGCAATAACAGCATGTTTTTTGTAACTCCTTAGCTTTCAACAATAGAGTATAATATTTTGGTTCCCCATTGTTTTAAAACTGCAGGTGTTTTTCTGACTTCTTTGGCATAATGATTTTATTAGTGTTGACACTCCAGTGTTGTTTATCAGTAAAAGTCAGAAGCTCAGGTTTTGCTCCTGGGAGATTACATACAAATTATTCAAATTGCTATAGTGCAGGTTATAACCTAACTATATTATACATCTTTAACTTATAATTTCTGTAAGGAAAGCTGTCTAGCATTTTAGTTGTTAATGGTTGGGGGGTTTTCTCCTTTTTGTATTCTACAGAAGAAACCACATTAAAAAGTGATTGTATGTGTGCAGGTTTTGCTGCTGTGCATCTTATCTGCTTGTGCTGCTAAAATATGTAAAAGTAACAAAGCATTCATATTGCCTGTATTTATACAGTTAGTGGCTTTTCTAATGCAAAACTGATGGTTTTCAGGGCTTTAACAATCTGTTCATAATAGCAATAAACTGTAACTTCACTTACAGAATTTCATAAAAGACTAGAAAAAATTAATTTCTTTGTTTTGTCCAGGTAAATCTGATCTGCAAATTCAATATACTTTGTAACCTTGTAGCTCATATTTTTGTATGGCAATTTATAGCCTACTTGCAATTTGGGGTTTTTTATACATAAACCATGCATTTTAGGAATAAGTACTTGGTTAGTACTTTTTTTCTCCATCTTCTTTGTTAGCTTTTGCTTCAGGTGAAGTTCTTTTTAATGTATTCATGTCTCTCAGTTGCATTAATAAGTACTTTTTATGTGTCTGTATTCCAGCTACAAATCAAGGTGGCTCCACATAGGTCCCTGCTGACCTCAAGAAAGTAGTGACTGTAACTGTGGAATGAGGGCAGTTTCAGTCCAGAAATCATTCCTTTGACATTGAATGGCTGAAATTACCCAATGACTTTTTCTTTTTTTTTTTTCTGAAAAAAAAATAACAGTATAACTTTTTGCTTAATTACTTTAATTTTTGCTGTAGATACTTGTATGCATGTATATAGATAAGCACATGCATATACATTATATAGAATTGGCCAGCACAAATACTGGGTTAACAATACTGATTGGACTTTGGTTTTCACACACCTTGGGACAGACTTTCCATCTGCAGAGTTACAGATTGAAATTCAGATTAAGTCAATCAAGATGAAGTTCACACACTGAAGAAGTGAGTCAGATTCATAATCCACAGAATCCACAGCCTAAGGAGACCCCTACTAGCCTGACCACATTTGGTTTCGCTATTAGCTGTGTTTAGCACAGAATAAAGACCAAACTATCAAAGATGAGCCAGAGTTGAGGGGTGGTGGCAGGCCAATACAGGGGCTTGTGCTTTATCATATCTGAGGCTTGAAGGAAAACATCTGATTTCAGGACTGTCAGCACTTAATTTATACACTTAAGTGTGCACTTAAAAAAAATAACCTTTGTATGACTTTTATGCCATTTAACTTGTATTTGCATGTCAACAGGAGCTGAGAAATCTAGCTATATTTTTAAGCTTTTAAGCTTCTTGATTCTTGTTAGATACTGCTCGCTTAATTGAAGATTTTATACTGAGTTCTATTTAATGTCTTGTAATGATCTGATAGAAATGTGTAAGCAGTGCTACAGAGTTCATTTGGGCTGCATGTCCTTGTGTTGTATTGCTCACACCTTATTAGTCTTCAGCAAATGTTCCACTTTTCTTTAGTTTTGGCAAGCTGCTCAGAACACTATTTCCTCCTTTTCATTCTGGTGGAGTCCAATTGTTCTTTGCTTATACTACATTAGCCTTTCCCAGAATTTAGCCTGGACTTTTTATACACTGGGGAGTTTCCAGTGTGTTTAGATTATAAAATTATTTCCTAGTGTGACTGACAAATGATGCTTTCAGATAATACTGTCAAACTAGATTTTGGTGCTGGTTTTCTGTTTTTCTTTGCAGTATTTTACTATACAGAAATTATGCGTACAATCGTTTTGTCTCTTGAAAGCAGTATTTTTCAAGTCCTCCCAAATAATTAGGATTGCCCCAAAACGACTTCTTGTTCTGTTTCTCATTAGGTTTGTGTAGATCAATTGGTGTAAGCAACTTTCTTATCAGTCATCTTGAGCAACTAAAGGAAGACTGTGTGATTACTCCACATGTTAATCAGGTGAGTGGATTAAATATATTTAAAGTATCTGGGTTTGGGTTTTTGCTTTGGGTTTTTTGGTTAATAATCTCTTCCCCACCCCTAAACCTGAAAGACTACACCCAAACTAGCCTTAGTCATACAGTTTCTTCTCTTCCATTTCTATCTATATTTTGAAAACCATTCAGGAATATGACCTGATGCGAGGGTGGGGAGGTGGGGGCAAAGTCCTTCCTCCTTTCCCCAGTTTTTCTCAGGCTGCTTGCTTGTGGCCAGTTTTAAGGCACAAACAAATGGTCTATGTGTCAGTTTTTGATGATAAACTAACTTAGAAATAAAATTCAAGGTGCACTGAACATTTAACATCTTCAGAGTGAACAAGATTTTGGAGAGTCTGTGCTCAAGTACTACATATAATTCGTCTAAGCAACATTGAAAGCCTCAGGTGATAACATATCCATGCAAGGGTGCTTTTTCCCTTGCTCCCCTGCCTTATTTCATATTTGTATTTCAAGATCACATTAAATTCAGTGAACTTCTCATTTAGGAAGGTGCTGTGAGAGCCCTGGCAAATTTTTTTTGCTGCCCTAGGCAGATAAAAAATGGCCACCTACACATCAGCAGACTTCCAGGACTATGACAACTATTGCCTTGTTGCATTTTTCGGCCCACAGCTGTGCCGGAAGTTCATGCTCCCATTCCTACCACCTCCTGACAGTGAAAGTGTGCTTATGCTAACATGGATGAAGTGGAGGCACATGCTTTTCCCTTCTGTACAAGTGTGAGGATTTCTGGCAGCTGTTTGTGGTTTAATGTCATAAACAGCCATAAAAAGATTGCTTAGAAGTGAATGTCATGATCTAACATCTCTGATTTTTGCTGTCCACTAGACTAAAGGTTACTGAAGGACAACTATGAGTAATGTTCAATTTACATAAACTAAGCCACTGAAATATGTCTTAAGACGGGCAGGTTGGTGACTGTTTAAGAATGGGTGAGTTTGCTAAGGTTCAACTGTGAAATTGAGTAAGAAATACATATCTTCAGTCTTACTTAAGTTTGGCATAAGTTGTTAATGTCTGTTAAATGAGAATATCCTTTCAGTGTTCTACTAAATCACTGCAAGGAAAAAATAATTAATCTTGGGTTTGTTTAGAAAATTCCTCCTTTTTTTGTGTGTGTGTTTCAAAATGTTACCAGTCCTACTGTACCAGTAATGATGGCAAACTGCTCCACTTTGAACAGTTTTGATATAGCATTCATTTACACTTTTTAGAGTTGCAGGAATCTTATAAACCATAGTTCAGGTTATCCTCAAAAGAGTATTTATTCTGTTTCTTGCTTAGTGTTGGAGAGTTGCTGAGTCTGATGGTGAGATTACTTAGGCTTTATCAATTAACAAATGAATTCTTTAAATTGGGAATGGAAGTGCTGTACAGAATTCTTACTTCACTGTCCAGGATTTATAATACAAAAGATGTTTGCTATACTTACGTATCAAATAGCATACTCTTTCAATTAACTTATTTCTAAATACAAAACATTTGCAAACAATCATTGTATACAAAGTCTAAATATTTAAGAAACAAGTGAAGGAAAATCACTTCCCTCTTAGCTATGTTAAATTTGCATAAATAATTTAGGGTGTTCTTACAATTCCAAGTTTTTATGATGTTAAAACTGAAAGTTAGAGGTTTTTGTGAAGAGGAGGAAGTAGGAAGGCAGGAGAAAAGAGGTTCTTTATTAGATTTTTATAGTCTTTGCAAGCCAGGTAGTAACAAGTGTTTCTATTTTACAAACCAAGTTGTAAATACTTCCTCTCTTCTTGGGTCCTGGAAAAAACAAAAACAAAAACAAAAACATAACCATCGTGGCTTTTAAAGAAGTGGGAAAGGCCTGTCTTTTCAAGAATATGTTATTGTTAACATATTGTTATATGTTATTTAATAGTAAGCAAGCACTTTTAAAAATTACAATCTACCATTAAAAATACTGTTAAACACTGTAAAATGATGATAAATATTTTTATTCTAGCATCATGTAGAATGAAACCTACACCCTAGAAGTTACAGGTTTGTATTCAAGAGTTTGTAAAGACTTGGCAGTAGTAAGTTTGGATTTATGCTTAAGACTTTGAAGGCTCTTATGTCTGTCACTCATTAAGGGCAAAAAAATTTACATTTTATAAGAATTTAATATATGTTTCATTTAATAAAGTGTTTCATTGAACCCAAATATAACAGTTCCTCTGAATTTCATGTAGGAATGTTCATCAATATTTTTTCTACTTTTATAGAAGTACAAATTACTGTGTAATTGCCTCGAGAGATTTAGTAATATTGTGAATAAGTTAATATGTTAAGTTCTGTTACGTAGATTTGTACAAGGTAGAAACATGCTTTAGTATTTAGAGGCATTAAGAAACAACACTTTTGTACATAAACTCACCCAAACTGTACTCTATAGAGAAAACATTTCTAGGCTTGTATTTCAGTTTTATAAAGAGAAATACTTGTAAGACTGTGCATTCCCATTGAGAAACTGACTGAAACAGATGCAGGGAAACTACCAGGTGAAAAGAACCCACAGCAGGTTGGAAAGAGTAAGGCTTTTGTATACCATCATCCAAGGTATGACTCTCTAGGTCTGTGTGTCAGAATTGTTATTGGGCTCAACTTTTTCCCATTGTGCTATGACTGTTGTAAAAAAACGAGCACTTACTTGAGTTCCCCTGTGGCTGACCAAGTAACAGCTGTGAAGAGTTCTGTAATGTGAACTACAAACTGTTTTATTAAACAAATGCCAGTTTGTACACACAGATCATTTGGGGTGGGGTGCCAGAAAAGATCAAGATCTTCCTCAACCACCATATGACGGACAGCCCTTGCCAGAGAAAAGTTTAGTGACTAAATTAGCAAGGGTGGGGCAAGCCAGGAAGTAGGAAATATTTTGAGGGGAAGCACATGCTGGCCACTCACCCTATGCTTTTCCTAGTTAAGGATGCTAGTCCCTTGCATTCAGATACTGCTAGAACCTTCCAGAGTTTTTACATGAAAAATAAATTCAAAAGTGCTTATTTTATGCATTTGATTATTTTAGCAATATATGTAAGAAGAAAAATACCTGCTGCTACCAACACACAGCTGCATGTGCCAACATTCAGTTCACAAAATTTGGGAGGCTCTTGATTCAGTGAAAGGCAGAAAGTATAATCTTCCCAGGTGGGAAGCAGTTGTTGCTGTGCATTCTGCTTGTGAAGCAGGCAAGTGACATCTGAGCATGCTGGTCTTGCTTTAAAAGTTTCTGGAGTAACCTGTAACTGTGCTGCCTAGAAATCTTGTTAGACCAGCAGGTAAATTCTGCTTGCAGTTATATTAGTAGCAAATGCTGAATAAGCCACCTGATGCCATAGGGTTTCAGCATTTCATCTTATATACATCATTTTTTATTTAATATTTTCTAGCCTATGTTATTTGTTACACTTGGTGTAAAGAAAGTTTCCTAAAATTGCTTAGTAGTATTGTAATAATCAAGTAATACACCCTGCTTGCTCTTTTTTCTCCTTATAGTTTTACGTAAAAACAATGAGCATATTTTCTAGTCAGCTCAGATGCAAACAAGTGAATAACTGTATGACCTAAACACTGGTCTTACACATATAAACATGAAATACAAAGACTACTCAAAGGTCAAGAAACATCAAAGGTTGAAGACATGGATGTCTGCTGCTTGAACCTTGTTCCCGAGCCTGCCTAGTAATTTAGATCATAGCAGCTTTAGGCTGACTCAGCCCAGCCTTCGAGGGGCACAGTTTTTTCTTAGCCCATATTGAATGACTGCCAGCCTATTGTTCCCAGCTATTGTTGTCTGAAAAGACAACATGTACTAAAGATGAGAAACAGGAAATGTTCATTTGTCCTCTTTGTGGCAGAAGAAACTTTCCAGATTCCATGTGTTGAGGTAATTGTTCAGAAGAGTATTTTTCTTCAAAATGCGCAAGAGTTAGATCACTGGAACAACAGTGACGGCCAGTTGCAAAAGTATATCACATGATTATGTATTTTATAAAAGAAAACACTACCCATTTTCATCTGAATGCAGAGGAAGGTATGCTTCTTACAATGTATAAACTGTGAAATATTTATTTAAATAACATATTAAGGAATGTTACAGAAATACTTTTGGCTTTTGCTACATGCCAGAATATGCGGCTCTTCTGAGATCCTTACTTTCCAATAATTTCTGATTGCTTTTGCTTCCAAGAGCTGTCTTTGTAGCTTGTTACTTTTCCTCTTTTAACTGCTTCTTGGCAATTTGTGATCTTCCTTCCTACAAAGGATCTCCTTCACACTTCATTCCACAGTGTGATTACTTCCCTGGGTAAGCTATTGGTGACACCACACACAGAATACAGGATTTTCCATGTGCAATCCATGCCAACAGGCTTTGCTTCCAAGGTCAGGCCCTCATCCTAAGCAAATTGTTCTGGTTGGTCTCTTACAAACTCAGTTCGTGCCCATCCCCCTTGCCCTGGCCTGTGCAACTTAAAGATCATTAGTAAAGAAACAGGAAAAGAAGTAGATTTGGGAAAGGGAAGGTAGTCTCAAATTGTCAGTAAAAATGACCTGATGCTGACTTCCACTATTCGTTTACATATATTTCTCAAACACAGAGCAGAAGAGTGCAAGTCCAACTGCAGGTAGGGAAGACAACTGCTCCATGCACCTTACTTCTGGGGGAAACATAAAATAGTATCGGTAAACTATTGTGCCAATTAATAGCAAAATGCTTATGGATTAATATCCTTCGCATGTCTCCTAAAACTGGTAACTTACATCTGTCTCACAGAAGCAGTGAATTCACTCATGTTGTATTTTTAAAACAAGAGAAAAAATATTTTCATTTATCAATTATGTTTACTACTAAATGTACTCTCAATGTTTTTACTAAAAATTTACTTGTATTTATCTAAGGTTGAATACCACCCTTTCCAAAGACCTCAGGAGCTGGTCGATTATTGTAGGAGCAGAGATATTGTTTTTGAAGGCTACTGTCCTTTAGCCAAAGGTGAAGCACTCACTCATCCTAGTATCACTCAGCTGGCAAAGAAATACGGCAGAACCCCAGCACAGATTTGCATACGCTGGAGTATACAGGTAATGGAGGGTGGTAATAAAAAACGTGTCTTCTCTCTCAGGAAAAAGATGCAAAGAATTCAGAGTTTGTGCATCAAACCAGAATTTATACAGAAAGGGTTTTTTTCTGTCAGTATGTTGATACTGTGTGAACTAACTGTGCTGTACTGGAAATTTGGAATGTAGTACACAAAGGATGGCAGTATTTTAAATATGCAAACAATCTGACTGTAGAGAATAAAAAGAGCCACCAATAAGAGATGTTTTCAGACTAAATGTTACAAGCAGTATGGGGCGTCATTCCATTTCTGTCGCTCAACACAAAATAGTAAGCAGTGAAATAGTGTATTAAATTGACATAAATCACATAATCTGTGTTGGAATTTAATACCATCTGTATAACAGCAATTAAAAATAGCATACAGAAATGTCAGTGTCCTCTGAAAAATGAAATTGAAACCTCAGAAGACACGAGGAATTTCTTGAAATGTTTTGAAGGGAGGCTATTTTGTTTGAAACAATGTAAATTTTAATGATGAGAAGCATTATGTTTTTCAGAATGGGATTGTCACTATTCCAAAGTCCACAAAAGCAGAAAGGATACAGGAAAACTGCAAGGTAAGATTTGATTATGCATTGAAGTCTGACTAACATTTGAATTACTGTTTTTAATACGTTGGTTTGCCTGCCTATTTTCCTATACCAGTTTTATATTGCGGCAACTCAGTTAAAATTGGCAAATTACAGTACCATAAAATCACATATTTACGTTGCATACAATATAGCAGAAAACCATAATTCACAAATCTTAAAAATCAACTGGAGAGCTAGTTGCTGAATGCAAAAAGATATCCATAGAAAAGACCTTTCATAGTTGATTTTTATTATTAATATTTGTATTTATTACTTGGCTGATTGTAGAACATCCTAATCCAGTTATGATTTGGTCCTTTCTACGATAGGCATGTAGGTCAATGCTGTATGAAAGCTGTAAAACTCTCTTGGGGATGTCCCAGATAGAGACCTTCTAAGGAAATCACAGTCCTGCCAGAGCTGACTGTTCCCCTACCTTCTTCCCTCTACTTGACTTGCAGACAAGGGATGGACAAAGAAAAGTGGGGAAATGAATAAAGACTGGCAGCATGATTCCTCCACCCTTTTAAAATTTCCTTTTCATACCAAATGTTTTTAATTCATTACTTCATTTTTCTCTCCATTTTTCTAATCTGAAAGTGTGTTTGCTTTGGGGGAGGGGAAACCACAACCACCTGATTGTTACATCCCAAAATATCATAGGGGTATGAACTGTTTGGCAAATCAAGAAGAAAATTTGCAAGATAGGAAATGTCTGTCTGTTAATTAAATCACTGTGTGTGCATGTGTGTGTAGGTGTAAATCAATGTACTTGTAATGAGGATTTCTTCTGGTGGCTATGCCTCTTTATATAGCTCCGGCCTTGACTGTTTGTTCTGACATGCCCACTGCCTTCTGTGGTACAAGCACAGCTGTTTGTGGTACTGTATTGTGAACCAGATCAGAGAACAAAAACAGGTTAAAAATCCTTCCTTATTCTTTCTATTTTATTTTCCCTAATAATATTTTAAATCCAGATTAATTCTATTTTTTAAAGAGTTTATGGCCCTAACAATTTTGTACAACTGAAGGAACGCATTGCAGCAAAACTTTGAACACTTAAAATGGAAAGAGGGGAGAACTGGCACACTTATCAAATGTTACTGCATCTCCCTTTTATTTTCTTTTTTTCTTTCCCCTGTGCCAGTGTGTTGGCCTGAGTCCCTACCACCTCTAATCAAGTTGGTAAAAGCATGGACTTCATTAAGCCCTCAGTATATAATATAATATAATATAGCGTAACATAACATGTAGTATTTCTAGTTCTGTGACTGGTCCCTGGTTTAGGTTTAAAAAACTTGAGCACTGTGGTTTGACTACAAGGGTCATTTCAGCAGACAGTAATTGCTGGATAATGCAGGATGGGAGTTGCTTATTTGGCAGCAGTTCAGGCTCCACAGGATCTTTTTACTGAGTATGGCGGAGCTCTGACAAAGACAACAGACCAACTTAAAGCAACTTCATTTCTGAAGTGATAATGTCTGAATAAGACACCTGCTAAGAAAACACTGACACCATCATTCATGTTGCAAGTCTCACAACAGGAGTTGGTGGATGTAAGAGCCTATGCATGAAGAGAGGTGACTGCTTTCAAGTTCGAGTCAGTACTAAGGCACTATAGCACTGTCTGTTTCTGTATTTAGCTGATCCATGAGTGTTTTGTCTAAGTGCACACAGAAAAGATAGATAGAGCCTTTGGCTTGCTAGCTTTGTTAATGTCCTGATGGGTTCTAATAATTCTCTTTATAACTAAAGTTCTGAGGAAAAGAACTGTAACACTCAAAACTGAACGTTGGGATAGAAGTGAAATACTGAGCTCAGGTTTCCAGTGGGATTGCTGTCAGGGTATTCATATACCTCTGGTGGTGACCGTATAGAGTGCTGTCAAAAACAGCTTTGATACTACCATTGTCTTGGACCCTTGCCTGAGGCCAGAGTGCTACAAAACAGTGTACAGATAAAAATGAGTCACAAAAGGAGCAAAAGACCCAGTGGAGCCTGTCAGTTTAATGAAATATTTGTCTATGACAAAATATAAGAAGAATTATTAGAAGAAAAAATATAGAAAAATTCTGCCTCCCATTTAAATGAATGTTGATCAGTTTAGATAACAGAAACACTCCTGATTCTCTCTATGTTCATGATGTTAACTATATATGCATTCCCACAGGTGTTTGATTTTACAATAGCAGAAGATGATGTTGAAATTCTGAATGGAATGCATGATGGGAGACATGTTTCCTGGGACCCAAGCCTTATTGTGTGAACAAAGGTTTGAGCTTTCTCCTTTGTCAGTCATCAATGAGTCACACCATGAGCTTAAATTCAGGGAAAGTTACAATGAGAATATTATTGCAGGATTAATGATAACTGATTAGAAATCTTTAATGCTGATAATGGGAAAAGAAGTATATTTTTGGGGGTAGCACTTCTGTACAGAGGTCTTAAATTTCTGTCTCAAATCCTGATCATTGAAGCCCATGCAAAGCCTCCTGTTTACACCATTGACCCCATATCAGGCCACTTAATCAAAGAGCATGAGGAGATACCCCTTCTTTAAAAATGTAAGAAAAAATGCTACCTACTAGTGTACAAGACAGGTGTTAAGTATGAAATAATTTTTCAAGTACTTTTTTAGAGGGACGCAATTTATGAAGAAGAAAAAGCTGCGTGAAAAAAGTATGTTTTATTTTTCTTATTATTACAGTACTTATACTGTACAATATACTGCAAATCACCATCAAAAATACAATCTCACTGTAATAAGCAATATCTCGGTGTCACCAAAAAAAGTTTTATGCATATTATTGCATAATAATGGCATTAACCCAGAGAGCTCTATGCATATTATTTACTAGCCTGTAGTTATAACAAAGTAGAAATCTTTCCAGAGAAGTCCACATACAGATGAACTATCTGCATGGCTAAGAGTTGAGCAGCAAGCTCTAAGAGCCAAAGAGGCATCTTTGTTATTACTGATCTTTTACTGCAAATTCTGCTATGTTTTGTGTAGCTTTTAGTAAGAATTATGTTAGCTTTCATTTTGGATTTGTCCAGGAAATCTCATTAAGACTATACTGTTCCTCAGATTTTTTTTATAAAATATCTATGTATATGAAGAGCTAGCTAGATATAGATATATGTAGTTTACAGATATGTTTTGAGAAAATAAGTCTGCAGAGTCTTTTATCGACTGAGTATTCCACTTCTAGTCACATTGGTTTGATATTTTAGGAGTTCCTGTGTCTAGAAAGGTATGGAAAGTCTGACTGTGATTTATATTGTGTGTGGACTTCCTGAGGCAGTTTTCCCAGTGCTGTTCTACTTTAGTCATATCGTGAAACAAAGCTCCTTAGTTTTTATCAAGAAGTGACTTAAAGTAATCTTATATTCTAGCCTGCATTGTTTGTCCTCAGAGTAGAGCTTCTATACAGCTTGACTAAAATACAGACAAACTTACCTTTTTGATAACAACTCCTCAGAATAATTGTCTGTTTTTTCCTGGTACACATTTCTGTGAAAATTTGTCTATAGATTTGCCTCTGGAATCATTAATTTATTATTATTTTAAAATACAAGATATTTTATTAAATGCTGTGCTCACTAATACCTGTACAATGTATGGTTCGAAAAAAGGTACACAATCCCCACAGCAAAGTTATTTTCTAGAGTTTCAAGTGTGGTGTGCTTTGGTACCTGGGAGTGCCACTTTAGGTGTCTAAGAACAGCTATGTACCTGGCTTAGTTGTGATGAGGTGTTCAGAAGTTCCACAAGACAAAGTTTATTTATAAGCTTAAGGTAACTTTTAGGCTTTTATTTTTAGCTTTTGCAGAAAATTATGGCAATGACTTAAGTTAAAATTGGAAAGATTTCCCAGAAATAAACCTTTCTACCAGTGCTCATCAGCTAATCCTGCTTTTGAAAAGTCACTTTATAGAACAGTACTTTATCAATATGAAAAAAACCTGTTACTGTGCTGTGGAGGGACACCTTGCTTCACAGTGTATCTGAATTCATAGAACAAGGACTAGAAGTGAACAATGTGACTAGTATTCACTTGTGGCTTTTTTGGCAGTAAAATCTTTCTCAGAAACTACAAAAGAGAAGTTGGAATTTTACCTCTACTTCTCTCTAAAGAAACAGACATCACATCAACATAGTATTTCCAACACAAATTGATGCATACGAAGTGAACCAAATCTTTATGTATGATAGCAAATTCTAGCTTTAGTATTACCAGAACAATAACAGTTAGGGCTAGCTATGTGGCTAGAAGTTTTATGTTGGTCTGAGCAGCTCTGTTTTTTTCTGCACTTATTTCTGACTGATTACCTCCCTGTTCTGTTTAGTTAAACAGAACTAAACCAGATTTTTTTTGTTAATCCCCTACATAGATGACTTTAGGCTACAGTGAGGATGGCTTACTAATTCATTAATATATTTCATCATTTCCACTGTCAAAGAGATTTTTACAATGTTCTTTGTGCCTGCATCTGCTTTTGCCTAGGAAGTCAAGCTACCATTTTTTCTGATGTAGATCATAGTATCTAAGCAGTACAACGAGTAATGAAAGGAATAATCAGATAGAAATAGTATTACTAAAAAGCATTCTTCTTAAGGAGCAGTTGTGGCAAGTTACAGTTTTATTCTGATACTTACTTTTCTAACTTCAGACTTTTAATTATTGTTGGTTCAGAACTTTTTTCTGGGGTTTTGGTGTTTGGTTTGGGGTTTTTTTTTAATCTTTCCTAGCAATTCCTTTGCTAGCAGGTAGTGGCTTTAGAACTACAGAAGAGTTTAATTATGTACAAAGTTGAGTGTAATTTGAGGCAATATAAGCTTTTTAAGTGCCAGGACTCAGCTAACTCATGCTACCTTTCTCCGAGGTGTGGTGTGCAGTTTTGCACACTGTGCTATCACTAACAGCCACTGTTTTCTGCTAGAAGCTGTAATTGCCCAAAGAGACTGGAACCCTGTTATCTCCTGTGTACTTGGGATATATCACTGGAGCCTCTTCCTTTGAATGTGGCCTTCACAAGTTTTATAGTATGTTACTTAATTTTGCGTCATTGAGCAAATTCTCTTACTTTTGATAAGGTTGCAGAGAGAAAAATAGACTCAGTGGATTCACATTTTATGCTCCTCTCTACAACTAAATTGACATTACAGGTGCAGTAGATAGTTTTCTTTTTAAGCAAAAGCTGCTAAAAAATAAGTCCACATCACCTCATCTAAATGAACATTTCTGAAGTACCGACAACTATGATCACAGTATAAAGAAATAAGACAACAAATAAGAAATTAAAAAGTGAACAGTAGTGAGATTTAGGGGTAGCAGTGAGGAGTGATATTCTGTAATAGAAGCAGAACTTAGAGGACCAAAAGGATATAAATGTGTTGAACATACAAGATCAGGAAGTTTAACTCCATTTTTAAATTTTTTTCTTTGATCACTGAGCCTGGAGGTGCTCATGTTTTAAGATTTTTTTTTTTTTTTTAACTCAGAATTCATGCCTCAAATTAATTATTTCCAGGGCTGAAATTCCTCCTCTTGTCCATATTTCTGTAAGACAAGGTTTCTCTAGAGAGAAAACTTTTTCACCATTCTACAATGACCATTTTTAAGATACAGCGATGCATCCATTTTATCAGTGTAAACCATCATCTTGCCAGTAGGAACAGGGAATACACCTGAAAATTGAAGGCACTTTTTAATCTATATTATGTAGGTCATTTATGGTAGTGACTGATTGGGGCACTCCTTTCTACTTGAGATAAACCATTATTTAAAGTAAGATACAATTTATCCGTGTTACCTACCTAAGTGCAATCAGTTGCCTTTTCAGGAGTGCTGTGACTCCTAATAGAAGGGAATTCACTTAAAACTAATAAGGAAAGGAAAAAAATAAACTGAAAGTCAGTGGAAAGGGTGAGGCCATTTTCTGTTCTGTCAGGTAGCTTCCTGTCTGACTCTTGAGTGGCGCTCTCTCTCCTTTTTCTTGCCAGTTTCTGAATTTCATTGTTTATTTTACTGGAGATGAAGGTACCTAAGAATATTTAATTGGGAAATAATGGGAATGGTTTTTTAACCCATGAATGTTCCCTGGAAGTGTGTACTTTAGGATTTTTTTTTAATCAGGATGCAGAAGCATTGCTACTGCACCTGACCCCCAACATAACTTTGAAGACATTTTTCTGACTAGCATGTGTAATAAAGAAACTGTAACACCTGTAAGCTTACAAATCCACTAAACCAATCGGACTGCATAATATTAACCCTTCTTTTTACACTGTGGTTAACACCAACTTTTTAAAAATAGCAGTGCTGAAATGTTCTGACAGGAAAGCTGACAACCCCATGTTTTTGAAAATGGGGACAAATTCCAGTATAATGAACTAGTGCTAAGTTCGTAACTTGGCTGTGAAATTTGGAGGAAGAGTGTACAATTACTTTCATGGTTTCCTGGTAACAAGGAGAGCAGAGATTGTTTGATTGTTTTGTTCTGTTTAGTTTTTCTTTTTTTCTATTAATTCATTCTTTCCTAGTGGTTCTTCATGACCTGGATTCATCCCATTGAATATCCATAAGTATAATGTTGCCAAGATGAATTTACAGTAAATCACTTACTTTGGGTGCGATATAAAGGTGGTGGAAGATTAATCGAAAACATAGCTGTCAAGGTCATACATATACTGTGGTATAGGTTCACTTCCCTGATGTTGAAAAAGACATATTTAATGGACTCTGTGTTAATGAAACAGCAACCAGCTATTTTATATCACATGGTTTGTGAGATTTTATTTTACATGATTATCATGAATGCCTTATAAGCCGAATATAAGTACCTTTGATTAATCTGAAGAATTATCACAGGTGGTTTGGTTTGGGGTTTTTTTCAGGAAATTTTTATTTTACTGCTTCACCCCCTAGTATTATGGATAAATATTATCTGTAATCTACCAAATAATTGTGGATTTTCCATCTAAGACTTCTATTTCTTCAGAATAGCATGTTAAGTTCAGTTATCATGTCCATTAATGTCTGTAGTTTACCCTAGAAGAAAACATACAGCAAGACTTCAGGTGACCGGTCCATGTCACTGGAAAAGAACAAAATAACCTTCAAAAAGTTTTCTAATGCTGCGTTATACAGTTTCATTACTTTAGAAGTTCTACTGTATTTTAATACATATGAAAAAAACATATATCATTATTAGACATATTAAAGTGTGTTATGGTTTTGGGTGCAATGCTATCCAGTAAAACTATTGCATGTCACTTTCTCAACTACTTCAGTTCTGTCCACTTGACCTTAAGCTTTTCCTACTGTTATGTTCAACTTAGTGATCTAAAAGTAAAGTACAAACTCTCACAAAAATGAATATAGCAGCCTTTTTTTTACAGTAGCCTTTTAAAACAAAAAAGGCCATTTAATTAATATTAATTAATCAGTATTGAGAACTTAAAACTAGACCACCCAAATTATAAAATGCTAATACTAAACAAATATGTGTGCTTTAGTCTCTGCAGTGTTCTCATCATGGTTTTTTTTTTTCTCCAAACCAGGTTTTTGATTCTGAGGGAAGGAAGATACAGAGTTTTTGAATACTGTGAATATCAACAGAAAATTAATTCAGCTAACCTATACACAGTGAAAAGTATAATTTAAAACCAGATTGTGTTCTGTACTGCAAAAGTGATACAACTGAAACATTAATTCATTTTAAACTGAACAATAAATCTAAACTGTTCTCTTAGGTACTCAGTACCTAACTAATATCAATCAATTAAAAAATCAGTATCAATGATTTTTGTTTACTGATATGTTAACAAAATAATAAAATAATTTAGTTTATTCTTTGTTGCTTTCTTATAGGTACAGAAAGGCTTACTTTTAGCAATTTCCCTGCTTTCTCAGAACTTTCTGGCATAGTCTCACAGTATGGGTTAAGCTATCTCACAATGTTATAATTAAGTTTCTTCTGCCCGCATGTACTTCATTTAAGGTGTCATTTTTAACCCATTGCAACAGATTAGTTTGGTTTTTCCCTTACAGATTTTGAAAAGTATTAGTTACTTAAAGGCACAGATAAGAGCATGCTACAATGCATGTAAATCTTGAAAAATTATTCAAAATATGGAATATTTGTTCTGGATTGCAGCAGAAATCTGAATCTGACTTTTTTACATTTCTTCCAGTCATGAGAACTTCGGGGTATTCTGTAGGCCACTCCTGGTATTTTCTTAGTGAGCAAACCTGTTGGTACTCTTTCAAGGTTCTCGTCTTGACCTAGCACATCAGGGAGGAATATCTCTGGTTTGTGGCCTAAGTTGTGTCAGGATGAATAGAAGTACTTTTTGCTTATATAGAGAAAGGTTTTTGAAAATGCAAAAGATTAATGTATTGGAGAAAAAGGTTTTGCTTATCTGTCTTGCAGGGATTTTCTGTATCTTTTCAAGATGGATAATGTTCAGACACTCCTCGGATGCAATCATGCGTTGTTCAGCAGTGCTAGCACTAAGACAGTAAGGTCTTGTGGTTGTGTCAAAAGCCACCAATCTATTTGTATGCAGGCTTTGGGAATACCCCAGCTCACACCTTCTTTTCTGACAAGATCAAAGCATTTTCCTGCAGGAAAATTGCCCTGTGACTAGTCAGGTTTCTGAAATCCCCACCACGTTAAGTTCTGATAGGGAGTTCTACAGGAGCTTTGGTTGTCACGGCAGAGGTGTTTTTTTGTCTTTTCTTGATACCAGACCCTAAAATATCATATACTGATTCATGATCCCTCTGAAGAAAAGTGTCTGCCTCTATGCTTGTGTCCATGTTGCAAAAACATATTTTTTAACCAGTTTACCCAGGTCAAGCAGCTCAAAAGATATCAGTTTGGTGTCCTGGTGTGCACAGCCCTGGGGCTGGCACTGACTGAGGCCTGTGTTCTGGCTGCTTCTGAAACAGCACATGAATAACATTGTGTCTTCCTTTCTCCTTATTCTGACTGTAGGCAATTCCAGAGTCAAGTTCTTAAAGGAGCTATATCTATACCCTGGATTTGTGTAGTGTATCTCAGAAGTACATGCTTCCTTAACACTGGATGGACCTGGCAGTTGGGGAGGTACTAAGAAAAGAGTTCTTGTTCTGTCAGTGGGGTTGGAGCATAACCCTGGCGTAAATCACCACACTAAACACTTACCAGCAAACTTCTGGCAGAGTTGGCTGGACCAACCTGAATTTACCTCTGTGTTTCAGCCTTTGTAAGCAGGCTACAACCTGTGCAGCTGAGCCACGTTAACCTATCATCTCTGAGGTTTTAGACAGCCTTCAGCACAAATCCAGCTGATCTGGCTTCATTTGCCTGGGAAGACTGAAGCTGTATTTCAGTCTCTGCTGAGGTCTCAAGAGGGCTATAAATGTGTGGGGTCATCTGATTTGAATGATGCTTTTTGTAATACAAATACCCAAATATTTGCAATGGAACTGAAATTGCCCAGGTATTTTACACAGCCTGTAACAAATAATTTGTTGTATGTCACATCTGAGTTAGAGCCCTCCCAGTGGGTTAACCAATAACCCAAACATGAAAGCCTGTACTGACTGCTGAAACCCTGAGTCATTCTGTCCTTTAATTAAAACATGTTCCTTTAATATGTTCCTCTTGCTTAAAATTATGCAAGAATTATTTCCTAGAGGAAAATGCCTAATGAATGCATTTCTATATTTCGTATTTTTTATAAATTACCTAAATAAGGGGGAAAGCTTGAAATATCTAGGGTATGTCAGGCAGTTTCAGGGGATGCATATGTCAACCTCAAGCATGATTTATCTTACATGCCTTTTCTGACAGTTGTAATTTAACGGCTGTATTTTCCTCAAGGCTCTCGGGAGGCAAAACATCTTTTCAAGTTTCTAGCTTTGTGGTGGAAGAGTAAATGTCTGTTTGCCAGTGTAATTTATCTGAGTCATTCTGGGAGAGGCGTGGAGCAATTGAACCATGACTATTAGCATAAATAAGAGGGACTCTCTTACTTAGGGTAAAGAGTTACTCTTGTCTTTCAGAGGAGAGCTCCTTGCACATAATAACTGCTGCTGCTATGAAGTAAAACACCTAATAGACCTAATATATTGTGCTCTGGATATTCTCTTGCGTTTCAACTTGAAGTTGAGTTGAATAGAACAGTGAGGAAGGAAGAGGAAAATTTCTGCAGTAAGCACAGCAGCAGCTTGACAACAGAGTTAGCAGAGGTGGTTTTTCTTTCAAAAGTTGGGAGGAGGAATTATAAAACTCACTTCTCGGTCTCTGTGCAGTAGCACAGTTACCACTGCAAGTAGTTGTCATGGCCAATTTTGTTTTAAAGAATTTAAAACTTTTCTTCTCATTTTCGAAGACGTAGGTGTCCTACAGCATCTTCTGAACATTCAAAGCCGTTCCTTGCATGTGGAAACAGCCGCCAGGGCCATGTTCGAGAGGCAGGACTCCCGCCTTCCCGGCGCGCTGGTTGCCCCCGGCCTTGCCTGCCGGGGCCGGTGCGTTGCCCCGTTGCTGCCGCAGCCCCGCAGCTCGGCCCCTTCCGGGGGTCTCCTTCAACACCACTTACACGGCGCCCGAAGAGCGTGGACGGAGGTGGCAGAGGGGCCGGTCTGCCCTCAGCCCTGCGGCGCCTGCTCCGAGCGGCAGGAGAGGGGCCCGGCCCGCCTGCACCCGCGCCCC